CAGTTTCCCCATGAATCTGAACATAGCAGCTCTTCACTGTTGTGTGTACAAGGTTAACTTCTTATACTATTTGTGCCACTACACTTGTTGAAAATAAGGGAGGGCAGATTAGGGGAAAGGCCTATTTAGGAAACTCAAGTGGGTGTTGAGAATTTTTAAAGCATTTTAGAACACTAGGCTTCTGATAAACTGAATATAAAACCAAGCTAACCATGTCACATTTTTTCTTAGGACTCTTAAGTCCACTGCTGTTGTTAATATAATCTTAATGTAAAGATTCTTAATGTAACCTACACTGTCTTTTACATGGTATGACCGCCACTCAACTCTCTCACTTGATTTAACACCCCTCATCTCTTACTCTTTCACTCACCAAGGCCTTTTGTTTGGCCCGTCCAGTTCCTTCATGAGGTAACTGTACTGACTACCCTCACTGTGGAATGCTGTCTTGTTTTTGTCACTCATTCCTACTCACTGTTCAGCTCATAGCTCAATCATCACATTCTGGGGGAAGCTTTTCTGACCGTCCTGACTACGTCAACTTTCATAGCCTCGTACTGCACCAAAAACCTCTCTTCCCATCACTTACTAAAATGTGAGATGTTTTAAATGTTGTATATGAATGCTGTGTGATTATTTAATGCCATTCCCCTCATTAGCATGTAATATCTGAGACTAGGTCTGGTTTGTTCACTGTTTTATTCCCAGCGGTTATCACTGTGGCCAGCGCATGGTTAGGGGTCAAAAACATTTGTGAAGGAGGGAAGGGAAAGGAACAGAGGCAGACCCTGGAATCACAAAAATAGTTCAAAGTTGAATTTTTATTTCCATAGCATCTCCACTAAATGGCAGCATTAGTAGTTTAAATGTCTGAAAAGGAACTTTAATTTCAAATGCCCTGTTTTGGATATAAGCATTCTAAGGCTTCTTTTTGTTATCTCTATATCTGATTGATCTGGTTAATCCACTGTTCACAATACCAAAAATATTTCTTGCATCTAAGTTCAAAAATCTTAGTTGTGACTTAAATAGATTTGTCTGTGTGTTGTGGGGCACGGGTTGATATTTTTTTCATATGACAAGAAGTTCAGAGACTTTTCAGGGCCTGTATACTGGTCAAGACTATCCTTAAGAAGTCAGAGTCCTGTAGCTAGACATGGTGGCACATTCCTGTAATCCCAGCTGCTGGGAGGCAGAAGCAGGAAGATCACAAGTCTGAGGCCAGCCTAAGCCACTTAGTGAGACCTGTCACAAGAAAAGGGCTGTGTGTGTAGTTCAGTGGTAGCACTATGTAGGTTCAATCCCGTGTCCTCCAGCCCAACACAGAGGGAGAAGAAATCATAGTCCTACAATCCTGCTCTACTAGTCTTAGCTACATCTCTAGGGTTAAGACAAAGCCCTCCCTGGGGACCTCTGCCTACATCCCCTTGCCAGGACTGGTTCATATGACCACTGTAGCTGCAGGGTAGGGGAGCTAGTGGGAAATTCAGTACTTCTGCTTTCCAGTTGCTCCTTTTTTAAAAGAAAGGGAGATTGTAAAGTGTAGTCAGTCAACCTCAGTACCTTCCAGTGAGTGAATCTACTCTGCCCCAGTGAAAGGGGAACAACTGGTGAACATGGAGAAGAGGCTGGGGGAAGGACACAATGATAACTGAAGACCCAAGAGTATGTTTCAAGCAGACAGAAGTAGTTTGCCTTGGAGAAGTGGCTAAGGTCTCACTTTCTCTACCTTTACTTGGCTTATCTCTATTCAGTTAAAGTTCAGCTCCTGCTTTTCCAAGTTTTCTTTTTTTAAACTAATACATAAAAACAAACATTGTACAACCATATGATGTTTTAATTCACGTATATATTGTGTAATGTTTAAATTGGATTAAACATACCTGTATCATTCAAAATCTTCCATTTTTAAAATAGAGTATGTTATTGCCATTTATGGTTATCCTACTGTGCAACAGCACACTAGAACTTATTTTTCCTATCTAACTGTAATTTAGCAGCCACTGATGAACCTTAACCCAACTTTCCCCTCCCCCAGCTCCTCCTACCTTAGGTAATCACTATTCCACTCTCAACTTCTATAAAATCCAGTTTCTCTAGATTCCATATATGAATGAGATCATGTGGTGCTTATCTTTCTGTGCTTGGCTTGTTTCCCTTATAATGATTTTTCAGTTCCACCTGTGTTGTTAGAAATGGTAGGATTTTGTCCTTTTTTACGGTTGGATAGTATTCCATAGTGTTACATTTTCACTACCCATTCATTAGCTGATGGACACTTAGGCTTTTTCACTTCTCGGCTATTGTGAATAGCGCTGCAGTGAACACAGGAGTGCAGACGGCTCTTCAACTGTCATTCAGCTTTAAGTAAACCAGATGTATATGCCTCACAACCAAATTGGGAAATGGTTCATTGTACACAAAGACAGACAATGAATGAATGAATGAATGAAGTATTCACTATATGCCAATTACTGTGAGAGCTTAATATGTTAACTTATTTAAAGCTAACAACTATTTTTATGGTTTAATTATGAAATGTTCCCCAAAGACGCAGGTATTGAGGACTTGGTCCCCAATGTAACAATGTTCAGAGTGGGGCCCGGAGTGGTAACTGGATCACAGGGTGATAACCACATAGATTAACCTACTGATGAGTTTATCCACTGAATGGGCCATCAGGAGATGGGGCCTGCTTAAACGATGTGGGTCACTGGGGGTGGACTTTTGAAGGGTATCATTTCTCTTTCCCTTCTCTCTGATTCCTACCTGCCGTGAAGTGAGCAGCGTTCCTCTGCTATGTCTTTCTGCCCTGTTTCTGCCTTGCCACAGGCTTAAAGAAATGGAGCTGGCTGATGATGGACTGAAACCTCTGGAACCATGAGCCAAAACAAACTTTTCCTTCTTACAGTTGTGTATGTCAGGTATTTTTGCCCAACAACTGATAGGTGACAAATACAACTACTCTACAATATATATATACAATTGTTCACCCAACATACAAGATAAGGAAACTAAATCTTGAAATTCATTTGTTGTCTCAGTCACAGAGAAAGTAGAGGAATCCCAGAGTTAAATGAGTGTTGCCTACACTCAGTGAAGGCAGAACTCATATCAATCTTGTCTTTCACTGCTGAACACTTGGGGCCTGACCTATATCTGATCAGTATCCAGAATATATTTACATTCCATGTATCAATCTTTCTCTCTTAGAAAGTCAAATGAATTCATGAGCTATACCTGACATTGGCTGCCTGTCCATAGGCTATGGCCAAGCTGAACTCCGTAGTCCCCAAATGTTGCTGTTTTATCTTCTCCATGTTGGTTCAAGCCTCACTTTGGCAGCTTTAGCAATGTGAGTAGAGTAAGCCATAGGCATACAAGTGAAAAGGAGCCCAGTATGTATAAAAGGAGATTAAGGTACACATAGGAAGGCTACTCTAGAGTGAAAATGAACAGCCACTTTCTGTGGTGAGATCATACTACAACCAGCATTTCCCAGGAGCTTCCTATGTACAAGACATTTTGCTTTTTAACTGTTACAATCCCCATCTTTAATATTTGTGTTACTGCTTCCACGGTTTCAACTATCTAATGACAATGGCTCACTTTCTGAGCAAACTTTGGCTCTTGTTTCTACCTTTACTCTACACACTCAAATCTTACCCACTTTTCAAGAGCCAATTCCAATAGTACTTCTATGTAAACTTTTCCATTTAATTCTCAGGACTCTCCTTTCCCACTTTTGCATTGCTACAGCATGTGATCATCCACATGGCACTTAGCTTATTATATTCTAAGTCACTGAATATTTACATTATTTCTATGGCTAGGTTGTGAGCTCCTCAGGGACAAGAGGTTTATCTAATCAAACTTTGTATTTCCTGTGGCTCTTAAATATAGAAGACACTTGATATTTGCTCCATAACATCAACAGTGCCCAATCTGTCCTTATACCTAATGTTTCAAGAGGATTAGTAATCCTGCACAACTACTGTAAAACAAATTTCAAGTATAATTATAATCGAGACAAAGCTACACTTTTCTACATTTCCTTCACTAAGAAAATAAATCCAGATGGCTTCAGAATGCACCAAAGTAAAGCTATAAGTGAATCTCCACTATTAGTCAACCAAAATGGCAAACCATGGTGATGGCAGACAGCCATAAATAAGGCGAAATTTGAAAAACTATGGAATATGTCACAATTTCCTATTGCACCTTATGTTGCCCCTGACACTGCCGGCCAGGGAAGGAAGAAGTTTAACACCTATAAGAAGTGAACGTTTTAATCAGAATTTTAAAAATTGCTAGCAATTAGCAGTTATGGCATGAGCTGATGACTCTAAATTTAGATATTCTGTGATTTAGGGCAATGATTCTTAGTGTCTTCTACCACAATAAACCTCACTTATGAGACATTCCCCCCACATGCAGTCAGGTATGCTTATGTCGAGGAGTTAGTTACACTAACTGTGGCTCTCTCTAGTTAGCATCATGTTAATACTTTGACTTGGATTCCACTGTTTGATCTACCGACTTTGTTTTTCAAATGAACTCATCTCCCACTGCCACCACACTAATCTAAGCTACCATAACCTCATGCCTAAACAATTACAGGAGCTTCTTTACTGGTCTCCCAGTTGCTGTCTTGGCTTTCCTCTAGCCTATTTCCCATCCTGTAGATCAAACACTAATTTTTAGAACAGTACTGTGTAATTCACTTTAAAATAACCCATGACTCTGTACAACTGCTTACTTAGATAATAGCCATGTCAAGCAGTTCAAAGAAACACTTATAAGAAAAACTAAGACCAAATGAATATGGAAACCACAGACCTGAGGTCTTAACTGAGGTCAGAATTCAAAATTTATAACTGTACAGGTGAACGTCATTTTTTTATTTTTATTTTTTAGTCTTTTTGAGACAGGGTCTTACTCTGCAGTTCAGGCTGGCCTTGAGCTCACTTTGTACCCAGGCTGGTCTCCAACTCGCAATGATCCTCCTGCCTCAGCCTCCTGAGTGCTGCGATTACAGGTGTGTGCCACCACGCCTGGCTAGATGAACCTCATTTAATGAGCCATGCTATTTTACCCAGATACTTGACACATTCTCATTGAGATCAATAGAAGACAAATGAAATTACTTGGTCTCACAAGAATGTCCGATCTGCAGACCACGGGATGGATACACTTGGTTTACCTGGGTCACATTAAGAGGAACTGTCTTGGGCAGAAAGTAAAATACAGTTAATGTATATAAATAACAAAATTTCTTTTAAAATATTTTTTACTATAACACAAGCCATGTCCAGCCTACAGGTTGCTGGTTGGACACACCTGGTACAGCATGCTCCCAATGCCATAGAATATTTTAAAGGTCCCTAGGAGATAAAAAAGGGTGAGAACTTGGTTTGAGCTGAAGCATTAAGGGCCTACTCATATGGATACCTTGTATCACCAGATCCACCTCCTCTATCCAATTAGAGGACAAGGGCGGCATTCCAGATCCAAGACTATGTGATCCACATGGGGAGCATAAGATTTCACTAGTTCGATATGCAAGATTTGTGTCTTCCACGGTTTCCCATGCACCTGCTGAAGAAGAGCCGCAATCCGAGTTTCTGCAGATTCAGCCCACCTTTGCCACTCTAGCTTGGTGGCTGATGAAGGCATTTTCCCTCTAAACTCCCTGGTAGCTCCACTTTCCTCTTTGTTAGCGGTAATTTTCTGAGGATAAGAATAATTCTGTTTCTCCGTTTTGCTGCTTCCAGGAGGCTGGAGATTCTTTCCTGGGAAAGATTCCACGTTTTGGTGGATATGCAAAATGCCCCCAGCATCCTGTCGTAGTACTTGGCAGGCAATGGGCCAACCTTCTTCAGAGCTGGGAATGAGCCCCAGGTTCACCCTATCTGCAATGTTTGAGAGTTTCAGCGTCCTATTATCCCCAAAGTGTATTTGGCACCGATCTGATACCCCATTGATCTCCAGATTATTTCTCAGGGCAGCTACGGCATGGGGGTTCCACTCACAGGCATGGACAAAGGCAGCACCAGCATGAACTAGGAAGGGCAACGTAAAATAACCAATTCCTGAATACAGATCCACCAGTACTTCTCCGGCACAGGACATTGATGCCACTCGCAGCTTCTCAGTGATGTTTCCGAAGGAGAACATACATTGGGTCACGTCAAACTTGTATCGAATACCGTTGTCCACATGCTCTACCCAGCCATGATCGCCCAGCAGCAGAGTCACTGCTGGAGTTCGACAGCCATCGGGTACCACCCTCCCTCGTTTTGCCAAACGCTGGACGCCAAGCGCAGAGGCAACGGTTTCCCAGAGTTCTGGTTCCAGGTTTTTCCACTGCTTAGCTTGGAAACAGTCTTCATTCAACAACAAGAGGTTACCATGCCGCTGCCAACATCGGGGCAAATCGGCTTCCAATTCAGCTGACCACGTTACTCCCCGATCCTCTACCCAGCGCCTCACCTCAAGACACAGTCTTTGGGCAGGTGAACAACTTTGGGCCTTCTTCGAAGGAACAGGATCCAGTAGCTGAGTCAGCAGACAGGTGCTGCCCGGGGCCACGCGACTTCTCAGCTCCAGCAGGTGCTGCTCGGGCAGGGTCTCCCCCAGCACCGGCAGCGCCACGGTGCCATCTGGCCTCTTCTCCACGCGGTGCTGTCTATCCAAGAGTTTCAGCTTCTGGAGATATTCCCTGTATCGCTGGGTAAACTGAGGCTCAGTCACAACTGCGACAACACCTGTGGACTTCCCACTTTCTCTCTCCATGTCGCCAGCGCTCGCATTCTTTCAGATCCCTCGCTGAGACTCTGGATCGCTACACTTCCTATGTAAGTTCAAAGCCACAACGAATGGACTCTCCAGCCGCCGGGGAGTCCGGACGTGACGTCAAACAAACGGGCCGGAACTAAACTATCACTGGCAAGTGTCGCCTCCGTTGCCGTAGTGACGCGCCTCCAGCCATTTTTGTTGTGGTCGGCCGACCTGCTCTTGCCTCAGCCTGAAATTAATAAAAACAAGGAATTTTATGGTCTACAAGATATAAAATTTGTCAGTAGTTTCCAGAACCCTTACCGACTCCTTTGAGTGCCGCTGTGCTGAATTTGGAGAAAGACTTCCTACTTAGGCTAGTGTTTCTCTCAAGCACCAACAGTCAGTTGCTGAAAGAATCCGGTATTAGTTTCACAGTAGCAAAGATTGTTATCACTTCATTGTCTTGAAGTGCGAGAAACACGTGTTTGGAAGTCAGAATGATCTCAGTTCACTTCTATCACCTCTCAAAACTGGAATATCTACAAATGGGAATTGCAGAGGATTGCTACAGTGATTAGAGACATTACGTATGCAGTGTTTTAAACACTGACTAGCAAGGACGAAAAATATTATGAAATAACAAGTCGAATTGATTAGATGGTAACGTGTTGAAATGCTTTCCTAGCTCTAAAGAGGACAAAGAGGATAAATTCAAATATTTGAAAATAATTATAAAGAAGCTCTGGCTCTTCTACGAAACTCCGACCATTCTATGGATTACGATTTTAAGATCTAAAAAGGTTGATATTAACTGCAGTCTACAATTATACAAGTCTCTCTGTATGACATGTTCATACGCATTCAAACTGTAATACATTATCATGAGTACAGAAATAATCACAAATTTAGATAAAGGTCTATAAACTCCAATGGTCCTTCTGTTTTACTTAAATATATAAATGAAAGGTTATGAATTATGGTACATACTTTAAATGTGATTGTTATACAAGTATCAATAAGATGGTCTTAGTAGTTCTGACATGGGAGGGGTTACTCCTTGCACAGTGTTAAATAGTAAAGTATATAATATGCCTTAGGTGGAGGTATGTTGTTTGTATATTAATACAGGTTAATTAGGGCATGCTATAAAATGTAAATGATTCAAGTGATTTCCTGTAGGTAGTGCAATTTTGGTGATTTAAGTTTTGTTTTATATATTTTTCTGTAATTATAAATTGTATGTAATGACTAAAAGTTATTTTTATATCTCAGAAAATCGATGATAAAGTTAGGAAAATTTCTGGGTCCCATTCAAGTGGAAATTCCCTTTAGTTTATTATTTGTAGCAGGGAATGGGAGAAGTCATATCATGCAAAATATTCTTTCTCTTGTTTCCTTCTGTTCCAAAGTCAATCTGATGTGACACTTTTTAAAGACAAAATTCACATTTTATTTAGATTGAAATAAACTATACAAAATTTTCTTCACCAAAAATAACAGCAATATTTTCTGTATTATTTCTAGATGATCTCACACTTTAAACTATTATTAAAATAATACATTACAAATTTTGACCTGGACTACATCTTGCTTTTAATCTGAGATAAAATGTTGACATATATAGTTTGAGAGCTGGCTTATTATTGGAGAGTTTAAAATGATTTAAGTAGCAGATTTAAAAGTTGGGAATGTAGCTCAGTGATAGAGTACTTGCCTAGAATGTATGAGGCCCTGAGTTCAAGATCCAGCGCCACAAAAAACATTTCTTTTTATTTTATTTATTTATTTATTTTATTTATTTATTTTTTTTTTGGTTTTTCTCCGGTATCAGGAACCGAACTCACGACCTTGCGCTTGCCAGGCAGGCGCTTTTGCTGCTGAGCTAAATCCCCAGCCCCAACATTTCTTTTTAATGGTGCCAAAAGTTTATTTGAAAGGTGAGGGGTGAGGGGTAAGAGAAAAACTGGCTCTGCAGAGAGAACTTGGGCCAAAAAGAGAGGAGGGGGTAAAAGCAAAAATAGAATTACATCCTGTGTGCGGGAGGCACAGAGTGGGCTACCATGAAGTTAGGGTAGAGGCACCTAGTGGCATCTGTGTCCCTGCGCACATTCCCAGCGCATGGGAATCCTCAAGCAGTTTTGCATGCAGGCTCCCGGGAATTTTTATTTTATGGAAAAAAGGTAAAACAAAATTTCATAACAAAATGGTAGGAAAATAACAATGATTAATACATTATATGTGGCTATCTTTAAAGTACTTGCTCAGAGTATAAGATATAGGCATAAAAATTTCTCTAATCGATACTAGTACAAATTTCCCTTTTTAATGAACTAAGAGAAATTAATAGTATAACTGACTTGCTTTTTTGCTTTTTCCCTATTATCCTTTCCTTTTGTCTTTCACCCATCCTTTCTTTTCCCTTTTGAACAATTCTTTCCATTTCACAATATCTATTGTACATTTTAAAACTTATTTATTCTTTTAGTTTCTCACACCCATAAAAGTCTCAAGTTTATCCTTCATTATGGCTGAGTAGTACCCCATTATATAAAAATACCACATCTTTTTTTCTCCATTCCTCAGTTGATGGGGATTTGGGTTCTTTCAAAGATTTAGCTATTAGAAATTGTGCTGCTATAAAAATGGGTGCACATATATCGCTTTGGTATGGTGTTTTCAATTCTTCTGGGAAGATACCCAGAAGAGGAATAGCTGGGTGGAATGGGACCTCTAATCCTAGTTTTTGACAACTCTCTACACTGATTTCCATAGTAGTTGTACCAGTCTACACTCCCACCAACAGTGGAGAAGGAGTCCTTTCCCCCCACAGTCCCTCTAGCATTTGTTATTGGTCGATTTCTTGATGAGAGCCATTCTTTTTGGGGTGAGATGGTATCTCAGTGTTGTTTTAATTTGCATTTCTTAAATGACTAATGATATTGGACATTTTTTCAGGTATTTATTTGCTATTTGTATTTCTTAACCTGAGAAATGTGTATTCATCTCAGATGCCTATTTTTTTGATTGGGTCTTTGAATTTGAAGTGTCTGACTTTTTTCCAATTCTTTATGTATTCTAGGTAGAAGTACTTTGTCTGAGGGACAATTGGTTAAAATTTTTCCCATTTTGTTGGGTTGTCTTTTCACTTTGTTGGTGATTTCTTTTGCTGTGCAAAAGCTTTTTAATAAGATGAGATCTCAGTTGCTTCTTTGAAGTATTTCTCCTGCAGTCTGGGTTTTGTTCATAAACTCTCTGTTCTCACTTATTTCTTCAATATTTCTACTTACTTTTTCTTCCAGTAGATTTTAGTGTTTCTGTTTTAATATTTAGATGTTGGATCTATTTTGACTTTAGTGCATGGTAATAAACATGGGTCTAGTTTTAGTCTTTGGCATGTAGAGAGCCAGTTTTCCCAGCACCATTTATTAAAGAAGCTATTTTTCTTCCAGTGAATATGTTTTGCCCCTTTGTTGAAGATAAGGTAACTGAGTGTGTTTGTAGTTGTGTCTGCATCTTCTAATCTGTTCCACTGGTCCTCAGGTCTTTTTTTGCCAGTACCATGCTGATTTTATCACAGTAGCTTTGTAGTATAATTTCAAGTCAGGGACTGTGATACCTCCTACCTTGTCTTTGTTGCTCAGGATTGCCTTTGCTATTCTAGGTCTCCTTTAGTTCAAGATCAACTTTAGTAATCAACTTTCTCTAGTTCTATAAGGTATGTTAATGGAGTTTTGATTAGAATTGTATTAAATCTATATAACAATTTTGGTAGTATGGCTGTTTTCACTATGTTGGTTCTTCCTATCCATGGCCAAAGGATATTTTTCCGTTTTCTGATATCCTCTTTGATCTCCTCTTTCAGAGTACTGTAATTTTGAATGTATAGATCTTTTACTTCTTTTGTTAGATTGATTCCTAGGTATTTCATTTTTTTTTTTTTTTGGATGCCATTGTGAAGAGTGTGGTTTCCCTAATTTTTCTCTTAGGGAGTTTGTTGTTTGTGTACAAGAATGCTATTGATTTTTGAGTATTGACTTTGTATCCAGCTACACTGCTGAATTTGGCTATTAAATCTAGAAATCTTTTGGTGGAATTTTTGGATTCTTCTATGTAGGAGTATTATGTCATCTGCAAATAATGATAATTTAACTTCTTCCTTTCCTATCCTTATTCCTTTTAGTTTTCTCTCTCTTGTCTAATTGCTCTGGCTAGTGTTTCCAGAACTATATTGAATAAGAGTGGTGATAGTAGACATCCTTGTCTTGTTCCTGGCTTTATCTTAATTTTTATTTTTTTGGTCCAGGAATCAAACTCACCACCTCACACTTGCCAGGCAGGCGCTGTGCTGCTGAGCTATATCCCTGGCCCTTGTTCCTGATTTTAGAGTGAAAGCTTTCACTTTTTGTCCATTTAGTATGGTGTTGGCTGTTGGTTTGTCATAGGTGGCTTTTATCAGATTGAAACAAAGACAATCTGTTCTGATTTTCTGTAGTTTTTATTATGAATTAATGTTGGACTTTGCAAAAGCTTTCCCTGCATCTGTTGAAATGATCATGTGATTTTTGTCTTTGGTTCTGCTGATATGGTGCATTACATTTATTGATTTGTGCATCCCTGCATTTTTGGGATGAATCCCACTTAGTCATGGTGTATAATCTTCTTGATGATTTTCTGCATTCTGTTTGCTAGTATCTTATTGAGGAATTTTGCATCTATGTTCATTCGTGAGATTGGTTTGTAGTTCTCTTTTATGGTTGACTCTTTTTCTGGTTTTGGTATCAGGGTTACATTTGCCTCCAAAAATAGGGAGTATTGTATCCCTTTCAATTTCATTAAAGAGTTTGCATAGTATTGCTATTAAATCTTCTCTAAATTTCTTATAGAATTCAGCAGTGAATCCATCAGGACCTGGGCTCTTTTGTTGTTGGTAAATTTTTAATTACATTTTCAATTTTATTGACTGATATTAGGTTATTCAGAATTTTTATAGCTTCTTGATTCAGCTTTGGTAATTCATACTTTTCTAGGTATCTGTCCATTTTTCCTGTGTTTTCCATCCTATTAAAGATTTTCAAAGTAGGTATTATTGATCTTCTGAATTTCCACACGATCTGTAGTGATTTCACCCTTTTCATTCCTCATTGTATGAATTTGAGTCTTTTCTTTCCTTTTTTGATAAGATTGGCTAAGGGTTTATCAATTTTATTTATTCTTTCAAAGAACCAACTCTTCAATTCATTAATTCTTTGTATTGTTTTCTCAGTTTCAATTGCATTGATTTCTGTTCTGATCTTTTAATTTCCTCCCTTCTATGGACTTTGAGCTTGCCTTGCTCTTCTTTTTCTAGAAGCTTGACGTGCAACATTAGGTTATTTGTATTTATTCTGTTTTCTTGATGTGAGAATTCACTGCTACAAATTTCCCTCTTAGGTCTGCTTTCATTGTGTCCCACAGGTTCTGGTATGTTGTATCTGCATTTTTGTTTAATGGTAGATATTATTTAGTTTCTTTAATTTCATCTGTGACCCATTGGTTGTTCAGGAGGGTGTTATTTAATTTCCATGTGTTTATTGAGGTTTTGTGATTTCTTTTGCCATTAATATCCAATTTCATTGCATTATGGTGAGGTAATATACATGTGTAGGGAACCTCGTTGGTCTCTTGTTGTACCACAGAGAGGAATGGCGTGGGTATGAGGAAAACAAAAACAAGAGAGAAAAGCTGGGTCAGGTGGAGGTGACCTCTTACTTGATGGGCAAGAGGACCCAAGGTGAACAGTAGGGGTATTTATTTATACTCTTGCAGAGTTAGTATCATGAGAGGCAATGCTGCCTAGTGACTAATGACTGTAATTGTCCAGGCAGGATGCTTTTCTCAAAACTGAGATAGCTTGACTGCTTGAGGCACACTGGCTCTGACCTTCCCTCGCACATATGACCAATTTCCGGCTCCAGTGACTCCCAACAGCATGGGATAATTTCAGTTCTTCTGCATTTACATAAGAATGTTCTATGGTCTATTT